AATTTATTATTTTCAAAAATACAACTGTTGATTGTTTTCTTAATATCTATTATTATTATTTTTTTTTTTATTATTTTTACGACTAACAAATTAAAAAAATGCCACGGTGTTAGTTTCAAATATTGTGATCATTTACATATTTCACCACTATTAATGGTGACATGTTGTAATTAAATATGTTCAATAGGTGAATTTAGGTTTAACTAGGTAATATAACAATCAGCACATACCAAAGCTGTGTATGTATTGGCGGGAGTGACCAGATTATACCTGGAGAGGACTCCACAAGCTGGTGATATTTGGTGATAGTCATTGTGATATAATTAGTGCTGTTTGCTGCTTTGTGCATGTCTTTTGTGTTAGTTGTAGACCTGTGTCATTCTAAATGATTATCTTAACAACAAACCACCTTGAAAATGACCCACACTGCTGTAATTTACAAGTATTAATTTGATTTCTTTTCCTATACTGAATGGTAGATTATCTAACACTATATTCTGCTTGAATTTAAAATTCAGCCTGTAACTGTGTAAATCATAAAATAAATCAATAAAAATGTGAATTTTTCTTTTAAGTTAAGATGAAGAAAGGGAAAATAACATATTTCTGTTGTCAGACAATTCTGTTTTTGGCTGCAAAAAGCCATTGTATGGTCATATATATATTGTTTCGGAAAAACTAAATTTTTGATTTCACTAACTATATAGATATATACAATGGTATATGATTAATGATCATTGCTCTTAACACTGGTAATGATGCTTTATAATGAATCAATTATATCAACTTTATAGCATGTTGAATTTTCAAGGGGGTAGTGAGCTAAGTATAGAAACGGCTAGAGGATGATATAAGATAATTACATTTGTACACTCATAGAAAGTTATTGGATGATACCATATAACTTCAAAATATTTCACTGATTAAAAAAATGTTTTCATCAATAAGTTTGTATTTGATTTCAAATAAAAGACTTATTGAAAATTAATTGAATCAAAAAAATAAAAAGCTCCTTTTATGAAAATTGAGAAACTGAAATTACAGAAGTGATGAATTAGTGTCTTTGCTTCAGTTGAAGTTTTTCTACAGAGTATAAAAGTGTGAAATATTGCATAATATAGCGAGCATTTTACTTCTGTTAATTTTGTTAGTTAAATTATTGGGTTCATTCGTCCTAATATTTCATTACCATTTCTTTCATTAGCTCATGTTGTTAATAACTTGGAACGTCTGTGATTTACCTAAACGACCGAGTTGTTCCAAATGACCGTATTATTATTGTGTAGTGTTCCATGCTTCTATATTCTTAGAATATACTGTGTGTTGTTTCATTTTTGTAACTATTATCTGAAAATGATAAACAATTTTATAAAGAACAAATTTGTTATTTTTTATTTATTTAATATGTTCGTTCAAACAACAGTACAATTTTTTTTTACAAATTTTGTAATCTAAATATCTGACATCTTTACAATGACATTTGATGATCTCATAATGATTATGTATTAACAAATTCGTAGCATAATACATTGTGTTTCTTAATAAACTGGTAACAAAAACTGCTTCAGAAATCTCCCAACAAATATAAGTTTTGCTTTTGAAGACTCTGATTACTGACAACCAATAAACATGCTATTTTCACAATGTTTATGGAAGACTGCATGTTACAAATCCTGATGAATGTGTATACACTGTACATGTGTACTTGTACAACAGGTGCTTGGGTCCATATGTGATGTTTTGATTTCAATGTATTTACAAAGAAGTACACCGTAATTTTTACAAATGATAACGACGCAGATTTCCATGCTGATAAACTCACCATTGCTTCTTTAAAATTCAAAGCTTTACAAGATTGATACATAAAAGCCGTCAATTTTCAGCTTAGAATTTAAAAAAAACAATAGTGGATAGTTCAGTTTAGGAAATAGACTGACAATAGTTTATAAAAATACAGGTGATTTATTTAGATGCCCTGCATCTGTGGTCCATTGTCCTATTCTATCATCTGCCTGTCCTTTAAGAATTCTTGTAATCAATATTTCTTCAGAAGATTTTATTTGTAGGTTCCCATTGGTTCATAGATGTGTATTGTCCCTTTTTTGGAATGATTAGAGAAAAACATGAAAGATAGCCATCTCTGATTTTGTCAGTAACAGTTTTTTTTCTGGAGAAGTACTGGATAGACCTTTTTCTAATTTCATCTGTAAGGACCCCTTCATTGTGCATTGGCCCATTTTCGGACTAATAGGGAAAATAACATGGCTGAGAGTGGGCCATCTTAGATTTCAGGAGTAATAGTCTGTTATTGCTATTTCTGTAGAAGTCTTGGATGGACCTTCCTCAAATTTCATATGTAGGTTCCCACCGGTCTCTAGTTGTGATGGAAATAGTTTGTTATTGTGATTTCGTTAGAAATACTAAATGGATCTCTCTCAGATTTGATATGGAGGTTCCCCTAAGTCTGCCCTTTTGATTTTGTGTCTGAATAATAAATGGCTATTAGGCTGCCATCTTTTATTGAAAAAGAACCTTTGTTACAGCTGTTTCTTCAAAAGTGCTGGATTGATCGTTCTCAAATTTCATATGTATGTAGATTTTCTTTAGTCCCTAGTTGTGCTCTGTTAATTTTGAATCTGCTAGAAAGAAAGGTGGCCATCTTGAATTTTGACAATGAAATATTGTTTTCGCCATTTCTTAGGACGTTCTTGGTGAATTTGCCACAAATTCTATTATGTAGGTTCCTCTCTGTAACAAGTTGTGGCTATTAAGATTTCAGTCTGATGGGAGAAACAAAATGGCGGCCAGGTGGCTATCTTTGATTTTGACATTGAAAATTTGTTATCACTATTTCTTGAGAAATACTGGATGGATCTTTCTCGAATTTTATGCATAAGTTAACCTCGGTCCCCTGTTGTGACATTTTCATTTTGGAAATATCAGATATACAAAACACTGACAAGGGACACTTTTTATCTGACAGTTTAAAATTATTATTGCTGTTTCCCGAGAGGGATTCTCAAATTTAATATTAAGAACAGATGAAAGAATAGTGAAGAAAAGAAAGATTAAATTAAAATATGAAGGCCCAAGATCACCGAATTCTTGTTCCAAATACACAGAAATGAAAACAAAATACATATCTTGGACCCGAGCGCCTGTGAGATGTACGTAACGAACTGTGACGATAGGAGACCTAAACGTATTTCAATTCTAATAAAATTAATTTTTTATGGAAAAATAACAATTTTCAACAGATCGTGATTGTAACACGTCTATATACAACACGGGCTAACCTTGAGTTATCACAGCAAGACAAGCTTCTATAAATAGAGAAAGACTGTGTATGGTAAAGTGTTTAGAAGGAAGACGCCTAGTACTTATATGATTAGCTACATATTGCAGGGTGTACTTGGGTAAGACTAGCATAACTGGTTTTATGTTCTACACTCATAACAAGAAAACGCAGACAACAAGATGGAATGAAAATGGCCACCAAAATGGTGACATTAAATTTATTACATATATCATAGAGTCAAAGCCATGACTCAAAACACAAATGACAATAATACTCCACAAAAATTTCCAAGATACTGTAATTGCATTCTATCAACCATAGAAGCAAATACTTCTGATAAAAAAACAATGACAGCAAGTCTAAGTGGAGTTGACAAAAAACCGCCACTCAGACACTTCTGATACTAATCAGAATGTCTTCCCCACTCATCGAACCACACAAAATCTTATCATACGGTAAACATGACATTTAAAATTAGCTCTTGAGATCATGGAAAGGCATTTTGTGTTTACATATATATCATTAATGAAAAGGATGACTAAAATATTCACTGAAGTGGAAAAAAAAGTTTGGGAACTAAATGGCATTATAATGAGGTTAAATGGAATAGAAAATTTACTGGCTGAAATTCTTATACCTATGTCGATGAAAATATTACAATGAGATAAATGGAGAAACATTCAAATAAGGGAACATATCCATGTTGTTCTTCTGGTCTAGGGAGGTCAAATGTCAGAAAGAGTTTACAGCCTGGCCAATAAAATAAATATAGCTGTGTCGGTGTCAATGCAATTTCCTTTATATCGAATGAAGCTAAATTAATTACACAAGTGACTGGTCAAGATATTCAGCATAATTTTCTTTTATATATCAAATTGAGCTCAAGTAATTACAAACGTGATTGATCAAGATATTCAGCATAATTTTCTTTATATATCAAATTGAGCTAAAGTAATTACAAACGTGATTGATTAAGATATTCAGCATAACATTGCACCTTGTGGAAAACTTTGTTATGATATACTCATACAAATCAGATAAGAAATAATAAGAAGATAGACATCTAAAACTTCACGTGGTGCTCTTTCTGGAGAGCTGCCATGACACTTATGACGTAATGTATTCGACCCAAGGTATAATGATACCTGAATGTAGTACATATGTGGACCCAGATCGTGTCCCAGTATGTGGGCTTTGTTGTCCATAGTGTGCTTGTCTGGGTAATTGTTTGTTTTGAAGAATAGCTTCTTTATTCAATAAGTTGATTTTTTATTGTACAGATGTTTACCTGATCTCATGGCGTTATATCAGATATCAAAGACGGCTCTCGCACAGCTCTCCTACGTCATTTCTGATATTACAACACAAACTATGGTCTCGTGTGTTTCTTTGTCTACAACTGATACATAGTTTTATAAACACCATTTTCAACACATTCCTAGGTAAATGGTTAATTAATTTACTAGTTCTGTTACAGCAATCCTAGTATTCATTACACAGGTGACTGCTAGCTTTCAACATGAATTGTACTCTAAACGAGGGTGGCAACACTATTGTCATTTTTTATCACTGTTCTCTGTTTTAGTCGACTGTTATTGTCCATATTCGTTGAGGCTTTTACTTGTGTTTTCCATTTCGTTTCTGATAACTATAGATGGAAAAGCACAGACTATATACAGAATATTTCGGTCCCTAGATAACATCATAATTTAGTAGTAGAATATTCGACATCTCTTTGTCTGTGGTTTTTGGGTGACGATGACGTGTTGTACCAGAATAGTTTAACGTTTTGAGGTACCCCTTCAGCGTGGTGAAAAACAGTCCAGAATAGTCCACTCTTACAGACGGTAGTATAGGGTTGGTGGCAACCAGTCTCTGACTGTTCCCTGGCTAGCATTCGGAGATAGCGTCCATTTCCATCAAACAGGAGCAAGCCATTTTGTCGACATTTGGTGAACCATATTGCAGCTACAGCCAGATGTCCATCTAGGTCGTAGGAGACACATTTCGCTAGCATTGTGCCATTATTCGAGCGTTTTAAGCTGAAACATCGGAGTTTGATCAGGTAGTTGTCCATGATCACAATAGAACTTGAAAATGCATCGTTCGAATCAAGAACCAACACAGCAATATTCTTGGTCTTGGGACATTCTGATATCCTGTTTACAATATTTTTGAACAATTTTACTCGGATTTTTTCCCCATCAGCGGTGAAAATACTGACATTGTTCAATATCCCAACAGCAACGCTTCCATTGTTTAAGACGCAAATGCAGTTTTGAGGTCTGTTTACTTGGAACCTTAAAGATATGGTTCCCACAGGAGAGACCTCGTATATAAAACGCGAAGACCCTGTCCATAAATTCCCCGTGGTAGGTGATACGGACACACAATTCACCACCTCTTCAAATTCTGTCTCCTCCATCACTGTCCCTTCAATATCAAATCGTGTCACAAACCTGCTTTTCCTGCAGCAAACCCAAGCTGTATTGTCAAAGGCCGCTGCTATATCACAAATAACGAATATATTGTCCGGTGTCTTAAACTCAGCAACCTCGTCCAGAGTTTGTATTGAATCAGAATTTGTCTTGTCCACGAACTTGTGATCCATTTTCAATCGTCGCTTCATTTTGTTTTGCATAGCAGTGCCGGTATCCTGGTGCTCAGCGTCCTTGCCTTCGCCTTGACCAACAACAGCCTCCCTGTTGTGGAGATCGACACGTTTGTAAGGTGGTATATCAGCATCATAAATGATGATAGTGGATGCAGATTGCAGGACTTCCTTGCATTTCTCAATTGTATGTTCAAGTTGAGAACAGATCTTCTGTTTTTCCTTCATGGAGGCAACCATGGTGACGTAATTGCTTTCCTTAACCTGCCCGTCGTTTCGAGTAGTCGTCACATCTCTATCGCTAAAACGTTTTGCACGAATATGAATTTCTTCTTGAACCAAACTTATCTCTCGTTTAAGTCGTATAACTTCTTCAGCTACCTCTTGACTTAGATACTTCTGGATTAGCTTTCTCTTTGAGGTGATGGCCTCCTTTAAATCATCAAGGACATGTCCTTTATGTAATGTTGAAACACATGTGATACAGATGAGTAGAGAGCATGTTTTACACACAACCGTCACCTCATTACCGTAATGAGAAGGGCAGGAGAACTCACCTTTAGACCGTATCGGTGTCTGAGCTGCAATATCTACGTTAGAAGCCATTGTGGTTGTGATATTCATCTACAGTTTGATAAAAAAAAAAAAAAAAATCAGACGATTTATGCCTATTGTAGTGACATATTGAATACTAACTGGCCCGCTAAGGCACGTCTCATATCTATGGAAACACGCATCCGCCAAAAAAAAAAATCTTACATATGTATTTACTTATTCTTGGTTCAAAAAGCAATGCACCTAGGACCAAATATTCACAAAAATGAGATTTATAAGGAAAATCCTAAAAAGAAGTTAAAAAATGAGAATAGGACGAAGTATTCCAAGAGGGTAAGCGCTCTATGATTTGTCGAAAATGCCAGCTATATAAATATCGGTCAAGCTATGCAAGTGATTTCACATTCTCAAACAAAAACATTATTTGGAAGAAAACGTCCTTACGAGCATCGTTCACATCGAAATTCAAAGCAAACAGGAAGACGAATATTTCCCAAGTAAAGCATGCTACGCCCATAAAACGTCACTATCACATTCATTATCAATCTTCATCTCCAGAAACCATGTTTTGTGTGTCAGATGTCAACATCTTGTACGAAAATTGTGTAACGGGGAACAAGGCTCTGAATATCGAATCAACAGAGACGTTTAAACACTGATGATTGGGTCACTGTTGAACAATAATAATAATTAAAATAAAAATTTAAAAAAAAAAAAAGAAAAAAAAAGATCATGTTCTGAAAGCAAGTCGATTCAACAACATCATTGATGTTGAAGACGACAAGAGTATTCAGCTGCGCAGTCAAAAATTTGTCCAAGGAATCAACATGTCGGGCTAATCAAAGGATGCTGGAACTTGTCAATAAAGTCACTCTCCAAATCAACGTTCTAAAGTGAATCATATTGATAACATTCATCATTCTTAAACAAAAATGATAACTTCAATTCCATAGTGGGAAATAAAAAAACACAATGTGAAAATTATGCCTCGCTATTTACGCCAGAGCGCAGTAGTTGTGTGTGGGGATAAGACATCTTCATTTAACATACGGTGTTTAATCGTTCTGTTCATATCAAGATATTTGTGCAAGATGTCGCCAACTGACGGGGAAATAAGCAATGGGTTTCGAGAGATGCAAGTTGTTGAAGATTGAGAGGAACTTTTTCGTTAGCCCCTTTCTCCCTCCTTGTGTGATATGAAGTTGGACGTGTTTGATACTTGCTAACATACTCCATTTTTATTGACCTTGTTCTCATTTAGGAACGTGGCATTACTTACTTGGATTAAATAAAATTTATATGTAGCGTATCATTGGTGAAGCAGAGGACGATTACAAGTCGTGATCACCCCATATAGATCTTCCTTTAGTATATATTTCGCCCGTGCTTAGCGAGTTGGGGTTCTGATTAAAATTTCGTCCTTGATCCTTGTTTGAAATAAACCCTTCGCGCAAGCTGAAAGCTTATATGAATTCATTACACTTAGTTTTCGATGGTTAAACCTGTACCAGATATTTGGTATGTGGGTTTTAATAATCAGTGGATACCACTTTATACCATACGATTTTTTATATTCTCTACTCTCCAAGTATAAAAGTAAATGATGTAGGTAATTTAGACATGTAAGCGTGGTTTAGAGTCCGTATGACAATAAGTGGCTGTCGTATATTTCAAGTTACGTGGACATCGATTGTAAACAAAGCCGGCATACTGAAGAAGTTATAAAACATCAGGTGGTTTTATTGGTGTTTCACGACATAAAACTTTTATCAGTGCCCGGTTGTTGCCGGCTTATCAACAAAATGATAAAACGACGAACAAGTGGTTCATACATGTCCATAATAATTTAACTTTACACGGAGACATTCACAGATATTCTCATTCCGCCTTTACCTGGAGAGCTTCATAGATGTCCTAAGACGTCCGTATTCCGAGATTTTTGCAACATGCCCCAAGACGTCTTTATTCCGAGAGCTTCACAGATGCCCCAAGACGTCCTTATTCCGAGAGCTTCACAGATGTCCCGAGACGTCCTTATTCCGAGAGCTTCACAGATGTCCCAACACGTCTTTATTCCGAGAGTTTCACAGGTGTCTCGAGACGTCCTTATTCCGAGAGCTTCACAGATGTTCCAATTCGTTCTTTCACGTTCGATAGATATCTCGTGTCCAGTATACTGTGATTTCGGGATATAAGGAGTTTCCCAAACGTAATGACCAGTTTAATTTTCCGTGCTGTAGAGTCAAGATCACGTTTACTATGTTTAGAAAACCCTGTCAGCTCGCAAACGACTTCATATAAACGTTCACTGATCAACATTACACAATGATATAGGACCATGATTTTTCGCACACGTTTGGTCTTCAAGGTTGTAGGGTCAAGGTCAAACATCACTGTTACTATTTCTAGAAAACTATTGTCAGTTCTCTATTTCTGAATTTTGATGAACTTCCTTAATGTGCATAAATCAAGATGGCACCACGAGGAGATTTGTATCGGTTACGATACTTGTTGTTATGTGAACTGATAACGGTTTGGTTTGTTCAATATTAAACTTCACAATGTTTCTTATTTGAAACTCCAACCTAATTGTGTAATTCGCGTAGTAAAGAAACGGACAATAATTATTTAATTACTAAATTTGCAACATCCCTACGTCGTCAACCTATGGTGTTTACATGTCCCATTCGATTCGATATTCAAGGGCCTAGTCCCATTATCACGAATTTCGTGCAAGTTTTAAGGTCGTCATAGTGATTTTATTGAGAAACATTTTATTTTTTTTGTGCGATATGAAGCTGGACGTGTTTAATACTGGATGGTTTTCCTAGTGGTTCCAATGTTGTATACCTATTCTCATTGAAGAACGTGGCATCTCTTTCCTGGATTGGCCTGGGTTTACATATCGTTGATGAAGTAGACGACGCCTACTCTTCTGAAACACCTGGCCCTATTTTCTATTTTCATTGTTCTTCCATGTAAATCTTTCTTTTGCTTATATTTTTATCTAATTTTATTTAATTTGAGTTTGGATTATGATTATGTTGACATGTTGGTATTTTCTTCAATCGAAGATTCACCGACAGAACAACACAAGAAAACAAGTAAACATAGAGGGTGAACAATTTTATAGCAACGAAGTTTAAATCAATAAACTTAATACTGATTGTGATATTTCAATATTCATTTATCACATATAGCCGACATTAATGCAAGATAAAAATAATTACATTATTGGTGTCTTTTAGGACATGGATCCTATCGGGAACCTTCGCTGCTTTCCGTAAACAAGGATATATCTGTTCACGGAAATCGCCGAAGGTTTCCGATTGTACAGCCCTATGAACACCTGTACCTGCTACACTCATTTCATGATCGTCAGTGAAAAATTCAAATAAGAACTAGACAAAATTAAGAGCATTTTTCATCATTTCACAGCTTAAATTTTTTTTTTTGAAAACGGGTCAGATTGATGTTTTATGTCAATCTTTTCTTTTAATACCGTTGTTTTTTTTCTCTCTAACTACCAGTTACTTCCAACCAATCATTCAAGAACTCAGGGCGGTGGTAAACTAATCATCAAGGCGGTATTGCACTAGGACGATGTAGCACTAACCACCAAGATGGTATTGCACTAGGACGATGAAGCACTAACCACCAAGACGGTATTGGTCTAGGACGATGTAGCACTAACCACCAAGACGGTATTGGTCTAGGACGATGAAGCACTAACCACCAAGACGGTATTGGTCTAGGACGATGTAGCACTAACCACCAAGACGGTATTGGTCTAGGACGATGTAGCACTAACCACCAAGACGGTATTGTTCCTAGGCGATGCCCAAATAACTCACACGTCTAATGGATCGGAATGTTACCCACTCAAATCCAATATTCATCGACTACTTTATCCTATTTCTCGTGTTATATCAAATGACTTATAAATAGGTAGGGCTTTGTTATCTATTTTTTCGAATCAAAAAAGTTCAGATATGAATACCACTCATTGTGGATTTGAAGAAAAGGTCAAATAACAAACATAAAGTTCAGTACGACTGAGGAATCAGCTTGAGTCGCGCGGTTGTCTGCTAACTGATCAATTATCAGTGATAGTTGTATGAGGAGATCAGGTAGGGTAGTATGGTGAGATCAGAATTTACAACACGACGTATACAAAACACATAGAGAATGGGATACACATTTATTATACAAATGGTTAGTTATTTCTTAATTGATTACCTTCAAGTAAATATTCCCCCACAGTCTGACACCGTCTTCACAATGGCAATTTATGCAAGGAAGACTACTTCTATAAGTAGTCTATTTCTGATCAATACCATTTGATACAAACATTCGTGTGATTTCTGATCAATACCATTTGATACAAACATTCATGTGATTTCTGATCAATACCATTTGATACAAACATTCGTGTGATTTCTGATCAATACCATTTGATACAAACATTCGTGTGATTTCTGATCAATACCATTTGATACAAACATTCGTGTGATTTCTGATCAATACCATTTGATACAAACATTCGTGTGATTTCTGACCAATACCATTTGATACAAACATTCGTGCGATTTCTGATCTGATCAATACCATTTGATACAAACATTCGTGTGATTTCTGATCAATACCATTTGATACAAACATTCGTGTGATTTCTGATCAATACCATTTGATACAAACATTCGTGTGATTTCTGATCAATACCATTTGATACAAACATTCGTGTGATTTCTGATCAATACCATTTGATACAAACATTCATGTGATTTCTGATCAATACCATTTGATACAAACATTCGTGTGATTTCTGATCAATACCATTTGATACAAACATTCGTGTGATTTCTGACCAATACCATTTGATACAAACATTCGTGTGATTTCTGATCAATACCATTTGATACAAACATTCGTGTGATTTCTGATCAATACCATTTGATACAAACATTCGTGTGATTTCTGATCAATACCATTTGATACAAACATTCGTGTGATTTCTGATCAATACCATTTGATACAAACATTCGTGTGAT